GAAATCGACGCTCCTCCTGCCGGAGAGAAGAAACCCGACGGCAAGTTGATCGTGGCTGAAGAAGTTGAAGAAGGGCATGTCAGCTGGGACTCCCTGAAATTGTACTTCAAGGCGCTGGGCGGCAACCATACTTTACTGTTCTTCACTTTCTTCCTCGCTGGACTTGGGCTCACGGAGCTTTCGAACGCTATCCAAACTTGGTTCCTAGGATACTGGGCTGGGTGAGCATAATCTTTTCAAGATGCCATTGGACATAACTGAGTAGATATTGTCTCTTCTAGCCAATACAGCCAACATGATGCCTCGGAAGTGGATGTATTCTAGTGAGTCTTATCTGTTTAGTGCCGCTGGATAAAATACTAAAATCCGCTCAAGTTACCTCGGCGTCTTCTGTACGTCCCTTTTTCTTCTTCTGCAAGCTTCCCTCACATTCATCGCAGCGGTCTTGATGCTGATTGGGCTGATTCTGTATGCCGTGTCATTTATCTTCTACACCATGGGAGTATTCCGGGCCTCGAAATCCATCCATAAGCAACTCGTTGAATCAGTCCTTGGCACGACCCTCAGGTTGGTTCTCGCCCAACATTTATTGGTACCACTAATAATGTCGTTTCCAGATGGCTTGACGTCACGCCTACTTCGCGGGTGATTGCCAGATGTACCGTCGATATCCGAACCGTCGACGGCTCGATTTCGTCAAGGCCTATGGGGCCTTTTAGAAATGTCAATGTCGATGCTCATCAAATTCGGGGCGGTTATCCTATTCACTCCTTTGTTCTTCATTCCTGGCGTGTTTGTGGGCCTTTTGGGCGGCTGGTGTGGAGTGCGTTCTGTCTTGTCTTGTCGTTCTTCAGGATCTCAACCCCACCCAGCAAATTTACATTGCTGCGCAGCTCAGTGTTAAGCGTGAAATGAGCAATGCCAAGGTCTATTTTTTCTTCCTTTGCAGCTTCTATTCATCTCCAACTCATACATTTGCGCAGGCGCCGGTTCTCGGACAGTATGCCAAATCTTGTCTCTTCCCAAATTGACCACTGACAATATCATCTCTAGCTTTGGCGCAGCGATAGCCGGACTCAGTGAGGCTTCTTCGCTTGGATCTACTGCCCTTCGCTTATGAATTCACTCTCGCAGCATCTATTCGTGCTTACGGAGCTCAGAACCCTATCATCAAAATCTCACTTGACCGCATCGACAAATATACCCGCACAGCGCGCACGTTCTACAATCTCAATCGCTGGGTCTGTATTCGGATTGGTGAGTCTATACCCAGTATTTAAGAAACTATACTGATTAGCATATTTAGATGTTCTTGGTGGCCTCTTCGTTAGCCATTTCTTTGACTCCGAAGCCAATTTGCCTAATTTTTGTCCCAGTCCGCCTCGTTGGCGTACTACCTGGTTTACATGCAGTCCTATAACCCATCCAACGTTGGTTTCAGTTTGAACATGGTGCATATCGTTCGTCTTCTCTGTTTTTCCAACTGACACATCTGCAGGCAATCGGATTCTCCGGCATGATCCTGTGGTGGGTGAGTACTCCAAATTTCTCGTTCCCGGACATCCTCTAAAGACCATGAAAAGGTACGGGTGTTGAACGACTTCGAGATTCAAGGCAACTCGCTCGAGCGAATCCGAGGATACATCGATATTGAGCAAGAACCGAAGCCGACCGCCGCCGGCATTCCGCCTGCTTATTGGCCTGCGAGCGGGAAATTGAGCGTCGAGAGACTGTCCGCCAAGTACTCCACCGATGGACCGAAAGTTCTTCACGATGTCTCCTTCGAGATTCAGTCCGGAGAACGAGTCGGAGTTGGTAAGCTCGAATTGAAGTTGTTCCGAATTGATGCTAATCCCGCGGGCCACCAGTTGGACGCACCGGATCTGGAAAGAGTTCCTTGACGCTTGCGCTCCTGAGGTGTATATTTACGGACGGAAATGTCTACTACGATGGGGTCCCAACTTCGTCTCTCAACTTGGACGCATTGCGATCCAACATCACGATCATTCCCCAAATCGTAAGTATTGCACCGGCTGACTGTCTTGCTTGTATTGATTCTATTGCTGTAGCCCGAGCTGTTGACGGGCTCTCTCCGGAAAAATCTTGATCTCTTTGAGCAATATGACGACGCAACGCTCAATAGCGCGCTGCGCGCCGCAGGTCTCTTTGCTCTTCAGAACGAGATGGACGAGGGGAAAGATTACTTTGGACAGTGAGATCTCGGCTGGCGGCGGCAATCTCTCGGTGGGACAGCGACAGATCCTTGCTTTAGGTTCGTGGAGTCTAATGATCAAATTTTGTTCTAACTTTTCTCATGTAGCTCGTGCTATCGTCCGGGGAAGTAAGCTGTTGATCCTCGACGAGGCAACGTCCGCCATAGGTAACGCCACTCATTTCAGAAGCGTCGCCGTCCTAACTTGGAGACAGATTACAAGACAGATACCGTCATCCAGAACTCTCTGCGCACCGAGCTCCCCAGAGACACCACGCTCTTGACGGTAGCCCACCGATTGCAAACGATCATGGACGCTGATAAAATCATGGTGCTTGATGCGGGGCGAATCGTGAGACTGGTTGCCTGCTCATCTGAATGGTACTGACTTGTCGTCGCAGGTTGAGTTCGACACGCCAAAAGAACTCCTCAAAAACAAGCACGGAAAGCTTCGGGCGCTCGTGGATGAGTCTGGTGACAAGCACGCCCTCTATAAGATGGCTGGGGCGTAAGAGCTGGACAGAATGCTTCGAGCGCTTGTGGATGCACACGTTACGGCCAGGGTATCGGTATCTAACTTTTATATATAATACGAGCACATATTTTGCATTGAGCAGCGACACAACCAGGTTGACATCGGAGCAAAGAAGTAGTCGACAGTAAAGATATTCGGGCATAGCAAGCGTCCTCTGAAGAATAGATTTTTTATGAGCAAGGCTTGATAGCGCTCAGGGCCGTCTGTATCCGCCAGCATCAGGAGGACCATCTCGTCCATTATTGCGCCCAGGAGGGGGAGGATAGTGCGGCCGTGGGGGAGGCGGGGGATAGCCGTTGCCAGAGAAGTTGCCCCCGGGCCACCACCGTTGCCGTTGTAGCCTGGCTCATACGCACCTGAAGGCCGCGGAGGGGGGCTTTCGGAACGGCGCCTACGGCTGGCGTCAATGAGCGAGTCAGACGGAGGGGAGGGCAGCGACAGTACCTGTATCGCGGGGCCGCCACGTCCGGAGGACCACCGCGGGGGTAGTCGTTTGTGTACCGGGACGGCGGGGGCGAGGGCGGACGGCCGCGGTATTCGTACTCCCCCCTAATGCAAGAAGGTTAAGATCGGATGATCACCATAGAGCGATAGAAGTATATACCGGGGCGGCGGGGCTCTGTCGTAATCATCGCGAGCCCGGGGAGGAGTCCGGGCCCGCCCACCTAGCAGGAGGGTACGGAGGAAAGCGCTCATGAGGTCTTCTATCATAGCGGTCGTACTGAGGAGCAGGAGGCGCCGGAGGTCCGCCATAGCCACGATAGTTGGGGTCGGGCGGAGGGGGATAGCGCCCACCTCTGTAGTCCTGAGGTGGCACTGGAGGGGGGTAGCGATCGCGCTCAGCAACTGGGAGGGCCGCGTCTGTAGTCGTCGTAGTCTCTGCCGCGGTTCACAGGAGGTGCAGGAGGGTAGTCGCGATAGTCACGCGAGGGCGAAGGGGCCCGCCGGTAATCTCGAGGACCAGGAAAGTCCAATCGGTGCTCACGCGGCGGGGGCATATCACGGGGAGGCATCGGGACATATTCGCGTTCACGGTTACCGGGCCCATCGTGCATGCGACGCTGGGGGGCTTCTGTAGAAGAAAGTAGGTGAGAATTGAAGAAAAAGGAGCATCCTTGGACACGTACTGAGCTGCATTGGGGCATTCTCTGTTCTTGGGGTAAGGGATGGAACACCCTCAATCCAAACGAACTCACCTCGCCCAATGGCCCATATTACCGCACTTGAAGCAGGCTCCAGGGTCGCCGGTGTACTTTGCAGTTCTGCCACCGCCGTGAGAGAGCTCGACGCGAATTTTGTTGCCCATGAAATGGCCTTCATGATACTTGGCGACGCTTTCCTCCGCAGCCTGGCGGCTATCGAATTCCTACGGACGGGGTTCAGAGAGGGCCCAGAGACGCGGAGCGAGCAGAGACATACCACGAAGCCGTATCCGATTCTGAAAGGTTTCGTTGAGACAAGAGCATCCAGGCCGTAGACGAGAGCAGCACATACTTTAGTTCGATGTTAGTGATGTTGCCTATCTGGCCAAAGCAGCTTTGCAAGTCCTCTGGGCGAGTATGTTCGGGAAGACCACCGATGTAGACCTTGTTCGGCTGGACAGCAGAAAGTAAACAACCCAGTTGCGACACATGCGAAAGACAACAAGAAGGCGTGGTCAAGGGCCCGAGTCAGAAGAAAAGCCTCGCAGCAGTGAGCAAGTAAGGCATGGGCGTCACAGACAGCGCAAGCAGAGACGTTGCCATGCGCCAGACTACAAGAGACTTTTTCTCTCTTTCTTTCTACAGAAGCAACAAGCAAGCAAGGAAAGACCGAATAAGCACCTTGACTTGCTTTTCCCGGTATTGGTCGCCCTTGTTGCCAGAGACAGTGCCTACGCTAGAGCCGCGAGCATAGTCTACGGGGTCGTTTGGATCCTGACCGCGATCGTCGACAGGAAGGGGCTCGTTGGAGGGTTCAGCACTACGCCGGGGTCCCATGGCAGCATCGTCAGAGGGCCCCCAGTTATCCTGTCCCTCGTCAGCAGCGCTCGGAGAGGCAGCCATTTTTTTTCGCAAAGAGGGTGTTGTGGTAAGCGGAAGAAAGCAAACAAATTGATCAGGAGATCGGTTGATGTGCACGGACCATTTACTCGGCGATTCAAATCCTTCAATATTTGGCTGCGTCTTTATTTCGAATGAACTCGATAGAAAAAAGGGAGGAAACGTAAGGGCAGGAATGGAGGAGGAGAAAAAAAAACACCAAAAGATAACTAGCCCACCGCGAGGGTCGAACTCGCAGCCTTCAGATACCCGCCTGTTGTCATGAACTAAGAGTCTGACGCTCTATCCGATTGAGCTAGGCGGGCGATGTCTCAGGGGTGATACACGAATCTAACAGCCACTCAGGTTCCCGATCCCATACGTGGCAATAGGCGCCCGACCCCTGTTGTCTCTTGCCAACATGTCCACAGGTGAGAGCGCGCCGAGAATTCTTGGATTGCAACTAACAATTGCGGTCAGGAAATAATTTTGACGACGCTTTTATCCGCCGAGATACAGCGTATCCGCGCTGAAGATTTCAGGCTCAAGGACGCGTCTAACCTCTTCAACGGGCTCAAGAACTTATGCCAGGAGGCCTCGATTCTTCATCTCCTCTATGAGAGGCCATCTGGTGACGACCTCTATGTCAAGGTTTACGACGTGCCTGGCACTCTTTCCGGGAACATCCTCCGCCTGCACGCGAACCTCCCTTGGGACTTGCTTTCTCGTCATAGCGCGATCCAGGGCGACGAGATCTCGCCCATCCCATTACGAATTTTCGACGATGATAATGACGCAGAGGAGGATACCGCAGATCTTGCCACCCAGCTCCCTCTCGTTGCTTTTGATGAGCGAGTTCACTTCGCCAAGCCATCCAAGTTCCGTTCGGAAATCCCTAATCTTTTGAAGGCCAAAGGACTTCCTCACATTGTACAACTCCTTGGTCGCACCGAAGATGGCCGTCTCGTCTTCCCTAAGCTCGTCATCGGGGAAAGGCTAGCCTGCGGCACCGGCTGGCATCGCCGAGCGCAAGCGAATTCTCCTTCAAGCTCGCAGACGCCCTCATTTCGCTGCATTCCATCGGACTCATCCACCGCGACCTGGCCCTTCGCAATATTCTTGCGACGCCCGACTACCGGACTGCATATCTCTGCGATCTCGAGTGTTGTTATGGGAGTTCGCAGTGCCCGAGATTGCAGACGCATTCGCACACGGCCTGGACTTGTCGGCGGTTCCCTACTCTCGGAAATCCGACGTCTACATGTTTGGTCAGCTCATGGCCGACTTGATCCTTTGTAACGGTACCTCGGACTCGCTGGCAGGGCATTCTGGGCGGCAACTGGCTGCCCCCGGCGCCCTTCCGGTCCATCGTCCTTGCATGCGTCGCGGCCGAACCGTCTGCAAGGCCCGATATGCACCAGATCAGGGCAATGTTGCAGGCTATCCCAGCTTGCAGGTTAGTTGTGTAATACGATCGGGGCACGGCGCTGTTTAGTTTGACCGCATTTTTCCAGACGTTGCCAAATGAGCACTTGCGTAGTTGGTCACAGTGCGACCCTTCCCGGAGCGCGTGGAACGGAGAGTCGAACACGAGAACTCACATGAACGACTGCGAGCTAGTGGCCCTTCTGCTGCAGTATGGTGCCGAGTCCCAACCGACGCCGGCTGCGTAGACGCGGAAACCTTTCTGGCCAACGCGACGGCCAAACGCCGGTTCAAAGCCACAAATGCGAATACCAAAGTCACCTGACCTCCCCGCGCCTGTCCCTGTTTCTCCGGTAAACCCATGGCAGGCTGCCACGCCCGCGAATACCCTCCCTGAGGACTACACGTGCTCGTGCGGTTCCACGAAGAACCTACGGGGTGCTGCAAAGCGCAACATCGGGGTGACTGAGACATGGGACGAAGAACGGAGATGGCTCCAGTCCTCGCGCACAGTCACCATCCCGGGCGCGCCGCCGGCTTTTGCGTCACGCTATGATGGAAGAGGCCAGGCAGGACGGCGACATGGAGATGCTATCCGGGGATGATGCCCAACTCTCCAAAGTATCAACAAGTATGCTTATAAGGAAGTTTAGAAATTGGCTTACGGGACGACGGCAGATCCGGCCTTCGAGTTTGCTTATTTCGTCGTCGCAGACTTCTTCCCCTTGTAAATTTGACACGGACGACGACGTCGACTCGACTGAGACGCGGCTCAAGTTTTTCTCGCTGAAATAATCAATGTCGGCGCGTCGGCGGGCATTTGGGTTCAGTTCTACTCTGCAGTTATCTAGATTCGAGTGTATTATGATAATTGACTCGCTGCGTTTCTTGGAGTATCTACCGATTAACGGAACACCTGCATTAATGCAAGTCGCAGCCGCGGGCGTCGACGTTGTCGGCGTTAATGTCGCTGTTATCGAAGTGGAGTGCGGGGTGTGCCGGAGAATGACAGGCACGTCCCTCTTGGCTGTTGGATGCAGAGCGAAGAAAGGTATTAGAAGTGGCAGGGACTTGATCTCATAACCTCAGGCTGAATTTTGCTGAATCAGAGAACGGCGTCGAATGCGCTTCGTTCTCGAAGAGTCCGTTCAGGGCGAGCAGTCCCGGCGTCTAGAAGCGGATGCAGCCATCAAGTGGTACGCCAGGACAAATCCTGGTCCAGTTCTGGGCCTTCTGGCGACGGAGTCGGAGAGGTGCAGTCAAGGTGCAGTCGAATAGCGCATCCGTTCGCAAACAACTAAGGTGCCGAACCTACGCTGGACATTGCCGCAGAGGGCTAGAAATTGCCAGATACCTCATACTCGTCTACACCCCGCTGCCGACAAAAGTTGCTTATTCCTGCGCGTTACTTTTATGGATTCTAGCCCAGCCCAGCCCGTCTAGTGTCCGCCCTTGTTCTCGGCGGCAATCTGGGCTGCGTAGGGGTTTCGCGGGTCCTTTGCAAACTCGGCGGCTGTTCGTTCTGCGTTAGCGACTCGCGCAACAGGGTGTGATGCAACGCACATCGGACGGCTGAGTCCTGGAGTTTTGAGATGCCGTAGAGGGAGATGGATGCGGCAACCATGAACGGCCAGAGGGGTTTAAGGATCTGGTAGAGGCGCGTTAGAGGAAGGGGGAGGGTGAGGGGAGAAAACTTGCTGGTGTGGGCCATTTGCGCCAGCCAAGGAAAGCCATTTAGTGTTATTCTGAGGGGATATGAGGCAAGCTGTCCGAGTCGGAGCAAGGCTGGACTTACACTTTGTCGGTCGGGCGATGTTACGGGGCAGACCGCGATGTTGTTTGGTCCACACTTTGCAATCAAACATAGTCCAACTTGCTAACTGTCTTCTCAACGGCCGAAATAAAGTCTGAGTAACGAGACTAGGCTTGCCACTCCAGTCTACCCTAGTGAATCCCCCACCTACCTACCGGGGTCGAAAGGAGAGGTCCTCGAAGGAGAATTGAAATGACTGGCCCAACATCCCGCGTTGCCACAAATATATCCCTTTTCATGTTCCCAAATGCAAGACAAAAGCTTTCGGTCGCCAACTCGACTAATTGACGACTATTACATGATGTCTTGCTTGGAGTCGTCTTGGGTTCCGCTTGCAATGATCTGCTTTGACCGCTTTGACCTCTTTTCATCCTATAAAACGGCGTCGGCCATCCACTGTATGCAACATCATGTCCGAGCTCGCAGTCTATTCAGCCCCAAGCCGTAACCGGATTTCTGGTTTCCCGACGGAGACATCGTTCTAAGCTGTCCTCAGCCACATGGATCGACGTTGCCTTTTTCGCGTCCACAAGTTTATGCTCACACAACACTCGCTTCCTTTCGCGGAGATGCTCAAGAAAGAAGCCCTTCTTTCCGTCCTGGAGACGCTCGACGGCCTGCCCATAGTCCTCCTCCCCGAACCTGCATCGGAAATCCACAAGCTCCTCTGTTGTTTATACAACGCACTGTACGTCTCCGCCACGCATGCGCATCCACACTCACAGAAGCCTCAAGTAACGGCGGGCTTTCAACGACGAGGAACGGCCCGATCACACGCTACGACTGGCTCCTCCGCATCTGTTCCAAGTACAAGATCCTCCCCCTCCACAAGCGCATCGTCGCGCAACTCAAGGCCGAGTGGCCCGCCACCCTCCCCGCCTGGGACGCGCGCGAGGCCCACATCGCCGCCCTGCTGCAGCAGCACATCGCCGCCGGCCCTCCCGGGCGCGTGCACGACATGTACCTCGACGACCGCCTCGCGGAGCCCGTCCTGACGATCCACACCGCGCGCGCGCTCAGCCTCCCGCAGCTGCTCCCGGCGGCGTTCTACGACCTCGCGCGCCGCGACCCCCGCGCGGACTGGGACGCCCTGCATACCGGACGCCGCGGCGCGCGCGCTGCCCGCGAACGAGCGCCTCCTCGTCGGCGGGGTGCGGAGCGCGCGGTGGGGCGCGCTGTGTGCGCACGATCTGCTCGTGCTTGCTGCGCTCAAAGAGACCCTCGCTACGCTCGTGCGCGAGGGGTGGGAGATGATGAGGAGGGCGCAGATCCCCCATGCTGTTTGCGACGCAGCGCGCAAGGATGTGTTGGAGCGTTCGAAAGAGCTGGCGGTGGTCTCTCGGGACCCTCTTTACGCGGCGCAATGGGCATGCCAATACACCACCAAGGCAGGGATGTGCAAGAGCTGTGAGACGAATTTGGTCCGATGGCTTGCGACGTTCCGAGCGTCCTGCTGGCTCACTCTGCTTCAAAAGTTCCAGCATAGAAATTGATAAATTATTGGATATGCTCCACAAATATGTTTCTTCCCCCTTGTAAATATCGTACTATGCATTATGCGACTTTCCATGCCCAACAAGGTCCTATTGAAACCCGTGAGCCATGCGGGGGTGCCACAGCGGAAAACGCATACCTAGAGGGTCGGTGCTCGAATGTTCCGCGCCGGTCCACAGTCCAATGATCCCAACCGCCGAGCCAATGTCGCCTACTTGCACGCTCTCGGTCACCCACTCCGGATCCGCGCCCACCGCCTCGCTCGAGGTCTGCAGTGACTGTAAGACTCGTACATATACCAGTCCCACGAGATAAAGCATATACGCACCATACTCCAGCGCACCGCGCCGTCGCCGATCATCCGCACCGTGCCCTCGACCACACGTGTGCTCACCTCGTCAGGTGTCTGTCCCGTGCGACTCCCCCGCGACGTGGATGATCGGGAGACGCCAGATGAGGGCGCGGGGGTCGGCAGCCGGGCGGCGGGCGCGGCGGGGGCGAGTAACGCACGATCCGCAGACTCATGGGAAAGATCCTGATGGTTTCCTGGACTTCGTCCAGTCCAAAGCCGGCCGTGGCGAAGTCGACGTTGTG